ATGGTATGTCAATGAATCAAGTACTGTGGAAAACATTTTTATTTTCATAGTGCAGAATTTTACAGACCTCTGACTTTTACTTTTAAAACCTTGGAAAAGCATAATGGCATATAATTAAGCAAACAGCTTGCCTATAGAAGCAGACCTGGAGTCTGTGTGAAGTGCTGCTGATATACTACTAAGTAGCAGTTATAAAAGCAGCAAATTGCCTAAGTCACAAATCACAGTGCTCACCTGGTGTTTACTACAGACTGCTACAGGGTAAACCTTAACTCAGCTTCTTTCTCTCAAGAAAAGCTTGAATCCACTGCTCATTTATTCAGTTGGGAAAAGGTATGTGCAGAAGAATACTTACTTTTGTTTATCAAGCTCTGCCTTGATTTCATCTGTAAAGGGAGACACAGGAGATTGAATGTTACTGAAGCCTTTACTTTGACCCTTGCAGCTCACAGCAATGTGACATGATAGGATGGAAATCTGGGGGTTACACGGCTGATCGCAAATCTGACGACAGCAAGATGTGTTGTTTGTTGTTGTTCAACAAATGTTTTTTCGAACAATATAACTTATTATATAGCATTTGACTAAACTTATACTTGATCTCACATCCGCTTCAACTGAACAAGCTCCTTAAGATCTTAAGTCTCTCTCTTCTTCCCTGCACCACCCTCCCATCTGTTATGCTTTCTTAAGAATTCTCCAGAACCAATTTCCTATGCTCATAATTTTCATCCCTCACTTATTAATTGAAAGTTGTATGCGCACTTCCTACCTACTGAGTGTCATATTATTGGCTACAATGTGAGTAATGGTGTGCATTCAGGCAGATGTGGCCGACCAAATTGATTTGATTCAAACACAATGTGGCAGAGAACGCTACTACACTCATCTTTCATAACTTCAGGAGGACACAGAGGAAATGAGTTTGTGGTATATGCACAGAAACATCACAGTAAATGTTAAAGAGATCATATATTTTAATGCCCTGATGTTTTATGTGCACAAGTGCAGTGCCTGATCTAAACCTGCCTGTTTGGAATAAGTCATTTGCTTGTCCTGTGTTTAAGGGATAGTTCACCAAAAAATGGAAATTCACTCATTATCCACTCACCACTATGCCAATGGAGGGGTGGGTGAAATGTTTGAGTCCACTAAACACTTCTGGAGTCTCAGGGGTAAACAGTGTTGCAGCCAAATCCAAAACAATTGAAGAATGTAAATAGTATCCATACATTTTTTCGGTGAACCTTCCCTTTAATGCTCCAGGGCTACCTCAGAATTATTTCATGAGTGATTCCTCCTCAAACAGTTTGACAGTATACTGTCACTTTTTATTGTTTGTGTGCTGAGCCTTTTATAAACACACCTTGGTGCACACTGCAGTTGTTCATCCTACCTGGATTATCAGCAGTGAAGATCTCTGGCTCTGTATGGCTAATACAGTTTGAATGATTAACTTAAGTGCTGTTAAAATAAATAAAGCATTAAATCAATTATGCTTTTGCAACTGTGCTTTTACTTTGAGGACAACTTTCTAAAGAGGATGTGATTCTGTGAATTTTGCTGCTACCACCAGTGAATGTGTCAATCCGACACGTGAACTAAAAATGATCCGATTATCAAAATCATCTGGCGGGACACATTTTATTGGTTGCAGGCTTCCAGTTACTGACTGCTGCTGTAGTTTACACAGGATGCAGAAGAAGTTTCAATTAAGTCCAGAGGCTTAAGGCACACTGCCCCACCCCTACTGACTGCTACACAGCACCGATCGCTTGTTTATTTTAATTGTATTGATATTGAACATATCGCATGTCTAAATCGCACCAAACTCGGCACTGCACTTTTTTGGGCAATTTATAATACGCATGCCAAATGTGAGGCTGATGAGATAAACAATTCTGGAGATATGCAGTCCATATACAGAGAGAGGTTTATGGAATAAGTAGGAAGCAAATGCAAACCCAGTTCTTTTCGCTATGGTGGAAAAACGTGTGTTTGGATGAAAGTATTTGAAGTTAATAATACTTGCTCTCTTTATTTTGTCAACTAGCTAAGCTCTGGTGTTTCAATTACTAAACTAATCTCTCTTTCCACCGCGTTTCTTATTAATCACAGAGGCAACGGGTGAAAAGGCCTGCAGTCCACAGCACAACTTGGGTATTTACACTGAGAACCAAAGTTGTGGTAGTGGGGACAATCAGGTGTGGAACTTAGAAAAATTCAAGACACACAGCCACTAACACAGTGTGATGATAACCACAACTTGGCCCAAGATGGTGGCACGGGGAGTCGAAAAGCAGTGTTGTGTTCCGCTGGCTTCATGAATAATGAGAGAGTGTCACTGGCAGACAGGAGCAGCTCACACACACCAACCTGTTGGCCCTGCTCTCATGTGTGACATGTATGTTCAGTGCAGTCACTCCTGTGGTTCGACAGCCTCGCTGTGCCTCAACACGGAAACACTTCCTGTTGTTAGCCAGCTCCACAATCACCTGGACAACAGCTCATTGTACCTGAGCAGATGTCAGACCACCGTCTGTCAACGTGGTCACATTCACACCAACAGCAGCCTGACAAGGACGATCGCAATGAATGAGCGTGTGCGTGTAACACTCTCAGAATGGAATGGAGGAGCACGCACGTCAGAGTATCCTGGAGTGAGGTAGCCTGTTTGTCTGGGTGCAGAACCGGGCAGTCTGGCTGGGTGACAGTGCTACGTACCACACAGGGATTGGTCTGTTTAGTTAGCTAACCTAGCTAAACCCGGGCGAGCTAACGGCCGCTACCAGCTAGCTGGTCGGCCTGTTGACAGCTGTGCAGGCTGTTAGCATGTCAGACACAACATTAAGACGCGAGAGTCACAACAAGCACGCGCTGGGCGGCTGCTGCCCGCGGACGTCAGCCGTTACCTGAGCGGACCACGGCAGGCCACTCCGGAGCTAATGCTAACGCTAGCTAACTCCGCTGTCTCCCAGGCGAAAGGTTTCCGATAAGAGGCGTAAAAGCAAAAAGCAGCGCACAACACAGACACGTACCGAGAGCCACCTGGCAGGCTTTGCGCAGCTGGCTGTGCTGGCTCCTCTTCACCTCCTTGTCGGAGAGGATCTTCTCCAGCGCCCGGGACAGAAACATGCTCTTGGTTTTGCTGTTCTCTGCCTTCGACTGCGAGTAGTGCTGCTGTTGCTGCTGCTGCGGTGGTGCTGGAGCTGCTGGCCGGTGCTGTGGAAGTTGCTGCTGCATCTCTCGGGTCTGGTTGCGGCTCCTATCTCAGGCCGTCATGTTCGGCCCGGCCCCGCGAACGAGCAGGTGACAGGGAAGCTAACGAGAAGCAGACTATCGGTGTCAGTCCTGTGGAGTCGCTGCCTCAGCTCAGCGCCGCCATGATGCCGACACGTCAGGTCACATGACTCTCAGCTGTCTGCGCCTGGTCTGCGCTGACGAGCAGGTCACCTCCGACACCTCACCGGGTCTCACCTCACCGGATCACACCTCACCGGGTCACACCTCACCGGGTCACACCTCACCGGGTCTCATCTCACCGGATCACACCTCACCGGGTCACATCTCAGACACCTCCGACACCGGGTCACACCTCACCGGATCTCACCGGGTCACATCTCACCGGGTCACATCTCAGACACCTCCCACACCGGGTCACACCTCACCGGGTCACACCTCACGG